AAGGAGGACGAGGCAAACTTCCCCTTGGACCAAGGCCTGATCTGGGCCACTCTCTGGACTCAGGTGGCCACTGTCTGGACTCGGTCAGTGGTGACCTTCCCTAGTCAGTCTGGCTCTCCTGGCGGTCGCCATTTATAGAGACCTACTAGGTGTTGGCCAGTGGGCAGGCCACGTACCCTCGTGGCCACATATGTCACCAGCCAAGAGCGGGCTGAGGCCTGGCGCAGTCGGGGGCTGCGGGAGGTTCTGGGTGGGTCACCGTAGAGGCTCTCAAATTCCCGAGACCAGGCCCAGCGTGCCACACGTTCAGACCAGGACGAGGGACCTCAGGACAGATGTGGTCCGAGTCCTGGGGAAACAGCTTGTAGCAGTCAGTGGAGGCGATGGGTCGGATCATAGGAGAGTGCAGCTGAGAAGGGGAAATGTCCTTCTTAAAGAGTCATGACAGTTGGGGTGGCCAGCTCAGGGCTGCTGGCACGCTACCCCCAAAGAGCTCCGTCCCTCGTGCAGGGGAGAAGCACAGGGGGACCCTGGGGGTGAGGGTGGGCTTGGAGCCCTTCACACACCCCTCTGGCACGAAGCTGAAGCACTTCTTCTCTTGAGCAGCAGGAGTGACACATTTGATCCCATTTCCCTTTGTGCCTTGGCTGTTGGGAAGCCCAGAGTCCAAAACGTAGCCCAGCTTTAACCCACCGTGACCTGCTCCGACACTCGAACTCTCCTCTGTCCTGACCTTTGCCTTGCTCCTTCCCGTCCTGTGTCTGGGTGCGGGAGCGTGTGCTTCCTGTCACTCCTCTGTCACGTGAGCCGAGTGTCTGTAAGGTGAAGGGGCAGACGCGGAATCAGTACGCGAACGTGCTTGGGGGAGAAGGGGACACCATGGCAGCCCACAGAGGCAGCTTCAGGAGCAGACTGGTGTCCAGGCTCGGGTGCTTGTGACGTCCAGGCCTGGGGGTCTGTGTGCCGTGGTGGCCAGGCTTGCCTCCTGCCCTGGATCCCGACCTGGCCACGTGGAGAGGTGGAAGGTGAGACGGAGGCTCAAAGGCGGCGCCAGGGTCTGGCTGGGGACTGACCTCAGTGGTGGACTTTCAGGCCGGGAGAACCTGGGCTTGGTGGCCCCTCCTCCAGCTCTCGGTCAGGGTCAGGGAGGCCCGGCCTCGCCTGGAGCCCGAGTCGCCTGCTGTCCCCAGGTGAGAGGCCCAGCTGGCCTCTGACGCGAACAGCCTGCCTGTCCCTCTCGTGTCTTGCAGTTTAAGAACCCCCTGATCCTGCTGCTGCTGGGGTCCGCCCTGGTGAGCGTCCTCACCAAAGAGTACGAGGACGCGGTCAGCATCGCCATGGTGAGTGTGCGGCGGCCGGCTCCCGGCCGGGGCTGCCCAGGGCGGCCCGTCCCCGCTCCCAGGGGGAAAGAGCCGGCTGTGAGCCAGAAACACAAGTGGACAGAAAGAGCCGGTCCACGCCTGCCGTCCCCGTACCGAGGCGCCAGCTGGCCGGTCCTCCTGGGCGGACACG